ATTGTATCTCCAATGTATAAGGACGGCAAGCGATGGTATGATTTTTCTTGGCTGGACATATTTTCTGGATGCAAATATTGTATGTAACTGAGAAAAATCATGTTTTGTGCTGTCCTTATACTTTTAGACATGTCTTAGAAATTGACTTTTGTCATTTTTTATGATCTCTTGCAAACTGTAAATATTGTGAGATTAAAGTGAAATGTCACTTCTTCAGAACTCTCGCATTCCATTTGTTTAAGTGCATTTTAGCTATAATTAGAGCTAACACAAAATTGGTGGGGTCTTTATAGTCGACTGTAGTGTACGAACACTTTGTCTTATCTACTTTGAATTACTTTGTTTTAATGCTTTACACATGATACTCACCTAATTTGATGCATTGAATCAATTCCATTTTTTGTTTGGCGAGAGAGAGAACAAGCTTGAATCTTTATTTCTGTCTTTTTGAATATGTATTGTCTGTATAAAATGTTAAAAAAGGAATGTTTGCAAGTCAGTAAAAATAGTTACTATTTTTTTTTCACCAAAACATTGTAAAATTAAAATTTATTATACAATATATACAAATTTATTACCGTATTAGCCTGAATATAACTCGATATTTTTTGACCATTTATTTTCTGTTAAAAAATCGACTCGCGCTAAATTCGAGGTTTAAGTAATGGAATGTAATATAAACAAGGACATTTTCCTACAGAGGTTGAAACGCGACTGAACGTCCGAGCAATTTAAGGCCACCTTACGACAAGTGTTAAGGAAAAAATTGAGGCATTGAATTCCGATCTTGTAATAATACCGGGTGGTATTACTTCTCAGTTGCAAGTCTTGGATGTGGCGGTTAATAAACTATTTAAAGTTAACCTTCGAAAAGAATACAAAAATTATCTATTATCGGGCAATCATCCATTGACACCTTCGAAAAAAATAAAAAAAAACTTAGTCTCTTTTGGGAGAATGGATTGCGACTGCCTGGCAGAAGATCGAACCTGAATGGATAGTTAAAAATTTCAAGAAATGCTACATTTCCAATGATTTAAATTGGACGGAGGTTGACATTTTGTGGGATACTGAAAGCGTGAATGAAAATACTGATGATACCGATTTGACATCAATGAGTTTTCATTCTGAAAACAGTTCAGATTCTGAATAAACATTCTCGTTTTTTGTTGTTACTTACGTAATATTAATTTTGTTTTACATTACTTAATTTTATTGACATGAATGTAACCTGTGTTATTAGCTATAATTACCTAAATAAATGCTTATCTGATTGAATTTTACTTTCTTTGAATTCTTTTATGAGTATTATTTTTATTTCTAAATATCTTTATGAAAATTTCGAGGTCGCGTTATAATCGGGCTAATACGGTAATATTAACAATAGCAATTCTATGCTGCTAAGATATTGCATTTATACTTTTGTTTTGTTTAATTTTTGACTTTTCGCTATTCATTTTGAAATGTTTGTTAATGTGAATCTTTCTAAAAAGAAACTTAAAACACAACCTTACTGTATTTACATCATAAAACATATAAATTACCATAACATTACTAATGGATATAAAAGCAGATTGTAAAGCTAATAAAATGTACCTTTTTATAATTATAATTCATTAGGCAAACACAATTCAAGGAACTATTTAACTTAATTCTAATACTGATTTTGAATTTTAGCAGCAAGATGAATCCAAACAGATTAATTTCCACAAAGTCACCAAAAAAGAGAAGTAGAGAGGATTTTAGAAAATCTAAACTGTTGAAGGAAGCTAGGAAAGCAGGTACTGCTCCAGCTGCTGTCGATGAAGAAGGAAGGTATGTTTGGAGAAATTTATATTTTTTTCTAAGAGTTATAAAAGGATTGATTGATTTAATTGGTGAGTTATTTAATGATCACAGGTTAAAAAAGGTAGTTATATCATTCACAATGAATGATCATTAAATGAGTAAAACACTCAAAGGAATAATTTCATTTCTATAATTACAGTAAGATCCCACTTAACACTGATTTGATGTAACGCGGTCTGCTCGAAACCTTAAAAAAGCTCAAAATTACACTGATTTAAATTATCGCAGCATTTCATTGATTTGTTTATAATATGATTATTTGCAAACACAAACCAATCAGCAAAAGGTGACAAAAAGATATACTTTCTTTAAATCTGTATTTGTTTGGTGCAATTTTGGAAAAAATATAACATCATGGAATCCATAGGAAATAGCAACTTAGCTTGGCAAGAATTAACTGATAAATGCACAAACAAAGTGTGGAAGAAGTTATGGCTGAAGGTATCCAAGAATTCTCAATGAGAAGAGTCTATCACTGTATCGTTAGGTTGACCAAATTGTCAACCTAATTGATACAGCGTGACTAGGACATGTAGACGAGCAGGATATTGAGGAGTTACCGCAGGTTTTCTGTGAGAGTCTTACCAATGACAACCTTCAAGAACTAGCAGAACAAGGAATTCATGTAGAATTGGAAAATAGAGATTCTGAAAACGAAGAAACCAAAAAATTTCTGTACAGATTTCCTTAGTAAAAAAAGTTTGGTAATGATAACCGACATTGTTGATCAAATTGTAGCGAACGATTTTGAAAGAAGTGCAAAAGTAAAACAATGCGTTTTGGATGCGATCTTCCACTACCGACATATGCTTAAGGAAAGAAAAAAGCGACAATTGAAACCTCACGACTTTATTGCAAAAAAACAATAATTTCTGAAAAGTCACAAAAAATGAACTTTACATTCTGTGTGCACATGTTTGTGTGTTATTTAACATATATTATTATGAAAATTGATATAAAAGTAACTTAAAATTATAATAAAATTTGTTTATTTTTGGAGGAGTGTTCCCCTTTCCCTTTCTGTTAAAATGACCTCATTTAACGGTGTTTTGTTTAACGCTTTGTCGTCTAGGAACATATTAGCAGGGTCTTACTGTATTTATGTTATATCTATTGTTAAAGTTTTAACATTTTAAAAAAAATTCACAATTTTCTTGAACTTTTTGTCACAAAAAGTAGCTAATTAAACAGGATTCTACTATATGAATAAATAATAGATAGGCTATATAAACAATCAATCCACTGACTCAATTTTTAAGTAATGCCAAATGATCTGTTGTTTTATCAGGCTACAATAAGACTGATTTAATAATTAGTTATAAAGCAATTTGGATATATGCAGTTAAGCTGCCATTTCATGATTTCATGATAATTTTAATAATTATGATAAATTAATTTTTAATTTAGAATTTCTGGAAGAAAAGAATTGACCCGTCTGTGCAAGAGTTGTAGATTTGAGTACAGATGTGTTTCAGTTATGCTACCCAGACCTCTGACTGACCATTGCTTCCAGAACTATTAAATTCTAAATTAAAAATTAAAATAGTAAATATGTAAATATTAAAATTATTACAAGATAGTGTCCTAACTCTCCACCTACCTCTAGTGTTCTAACTTTCCACCTACCTCTAGACAAATTACTTTTTAACTGATTACAGAATTAGCCTTATTGTAGTCCAACAATATAGCAGATCATTTGATATTAATAAATAATAGATTTTGACAATAACAGAATAGAAGACCCCAAGTACTTTTTTGATAATGGTCTATCTCAGATATGTTGCCATTTTCCATTGTGGATCAAACTTGCAGTGTGCTTGGGGAAAAAAAAGCCTTTTTAGTGCCCTCAGGGCAGAAAGTTTTAAAAATGTACATCATAACAGATGCTCTGGTCTTGATATTAAATGAATAAATCTATTACTAAATTCATTCATTCACTATCAAACTTGTATGTGTGTTGCAATTAGGATTCAATTTCAAAAAGTTTGTCACAATGAATTAAATTTTTCTTAGTTCAAAGAATGAACTACTACAAAAATATTTTATGCTATTGTCTGATTGTCAAAGGTGATTTATGTAACTTATTTTTCATTAATCCAAAATTAACTTAAAGGACATTATTTTAATATTTTGTTTGATCAAAATTGAAGAGAAAGCCCATTGAAACAGATACCTTTTTATATTTACTTTCATATTCTGGAATACATTTCATGACGACCCAATCTTTTTCTTTAAATTAATTAATTGTGATGGGATGTGTTCTAGAACATGAGAGTGAATAGAAAGGTGACTGTGTCAATGGGCTTTGTGTTAAATTTTAATTAATTAATATGAAAATTACCATGTTGTGATTATTATTACTATTATTTTTTTAAATTAGCTTTTCTATCAAAGTGGTACGAAAGACAGAATGGTCGTAACTCCAACCGTGTTGACAATTTGCCATGGGATGTGTTCTAGAACATGAGAGTGAATAGAAACGTGACTGTTTTAATGGGCTTTGTCTTAAATTTTAATTAATTAATATGGAAATTACCATGTTGTGATTATTATTACTATTATTTTTTTAAATTAGTACTTTGATTACAAAATTTAAAATTACAATATTCAATAAAAATTAAATATTGTGTAGTAACATCTAAATAACATTAACTGTGTCAATAAAAGTATCATGGGAAATAATAAACAATCAAGAATAAGAAAAGTAACTGGCTTTTAAAAATGAAATTCCAACTAAGAAAAAATGAATTTTACAGATATTTATATACTGAATTGTGAAATATTTTTAATATATATTACCACTAATTCCATAAGAGTATTGCTTTTGATAAATATCTTCTTGAATATCCATTTGTTTATATAATTCATATATATTATTTTTCTTTCTGAAATTGTAATAAAAGATAATACAGTCACTCTTGATAACTTGACCTTCCCTAACTCGAATTTTAGTTTTGTCCCAACTTAACTTCCATAGACTTAATGCATTCTGCATCATGGACTTCTGCATTCTACTCATACAAGTCAAAGTAGTTTTGAGATCAGACAAAACTGATGTCCAAAGATGATTCATGACATTGGAGTAGAAAACAGCAAAGGATATGTAGCTCTTGTTAAAATAATTTGTTTTCAAAAATTTCTTCTGAATAAATTTTAAACNGTAACAAATACACCTATGATTTGATGACTGAATTGTTGACCAATCAGATTTGAATTTGTCTATGTGTAGCTTCTTATTTGGAACTAAACATTTATGTTGTATAAATTTTGTTGTAAAATTTGAATTGCATGTTGACATTTTTATTGCTGATAGTGAACAGTTATAATCAGTATGTTGACTGTTTTCATTTTGAAGTAGGTAGAAATGGCACACAAGAGAAAACTAAAATTTGGCAATAGCAGAAAATGTATCCATCAAAAAGAAAGACTGCAGAGAAGGCAAAAAAAAAAAAAAACTGAAATTGTCAAAGACTGCATTCCATTAAATACTTGCTGTACCTAGCTGAAAAACATGGAGAGAATCGAATAGAAAAGAATGCATAAATGTGAGCAGCTAGATATCAAAATGTGCAAATGTGCATGACGAACTGATTTGTATAGTTTAGAGACATGAATGTTCTTGTTGATGGAAATCTCTTTAGAGAAAAAGCCAAACAGTTTGCACAACAGTTGGGTCGTACAAGATTCAACACACACACAAGAAGATGTACAGAATAGTTTTCAGTAAAATCTTTGATGAAAATGCCAAAGTGTGAGAGGAGGACTATGCAAAATGGTTTTGCCAGAGACTGTACAGAACAATAGGCTGTTTTCAACACAGATGAATGGGCTTATTGTTTTAAATGTCTGTTAGACAAAACAGTGATGTCCAAAGATGATCCATGTCATTGGGGTAGAAAACAGCAAAGGATATGTAGCTCTTGTAAAAATAATTTGTTTTCAAAAATTTGTTGTGAATAAATTTTAAACAGTGTAAAAATATTCAGAGAAAACATATTTCTTGTTAAATATATCTTTTGAATGATCCATTACAATGTTATAAAAATTAAGCATTTTTTAATGAAGTGCAAATGCACAGTCTTGTGACTAGATTTAGAAAATCAGACTAGAAAGGGCTAATATATGTCAATTATATTTTTTACAGTTCAAATTGATCGAGGTTTGTTTAATTCAAGTGAATTGGGAAAGTCTCTTTGAAAATAGAGAAAAGAATGCAATACAATACAGTTTGCTTTACAAATCTTGGCTGGACAATGCATAGTATTTGAAAAAGCACTCTAGATGTTTTAAAAAGATTTTACTCAAGTGACCTTTTGTATTAAAAAAAATTGGTTTTACTTTTTAAATTCATATTAATTATGATATTAAAACAAACAAAAATATTGTTATGAAATCAATCACTTAAAACCAAACATTCTGTATTATCAGAATGTTTGATTATTCATGCTGACCTTGATCCACATTAACTTTGATAATCAGGATTCTACTGTAGTATTAACGTTTAATAATTACAAAAGTTGTTAATTTTTTTTTTTTCTAAAATTTAAAATTTTAAAACAAAGTTTCATAATGGGAATTTTATTATTTCAGAGACATTAATCCTCACATTCCACAATATATAGCAACTGCTCCTTGGTACTTTGGTTCTTCCTGTCCCACTCTGAAACATCAGCGACCTCAGCCGGAAAGACAACAAAGTTATACGAAGATCGAAGAACATTTTGTTAGAGGACTAAAGGTTTGTCGAATATAGATATAGAAACTATTTGTATTTATTTACGATTTATTTTTTGCTTATATTTGGTTTTTTTAACCTCAATATGTAACTGGTTCAAACACTGTAATTTTCTAGGAATCACCATGTTTAAGGATTTTATAATTACTACCCAATCAACAGCTTTACCTAATCTAACAACTAATTTCAATATTATTTTCTTAATTGTTTTCACATTGTGTTTTTGCATGATGTTCCTGATATTTTCTGGTAATGTTAACATGGATAACGTAATTCCCTTTCTCATACATATTCTAAAGTACCATATGTCTGTCATTAATTAATTTAGCTGCAGTTGTTTTATATGGACTCTGTGGCAATATAGGCATAGTTATACTTACAAATTAGCTATGATTTATCCTTTGCTTCTGTTCTGTTTCTTGGGTAAAATAAAGTCGTTCACTGGCTAATAATTACGAAGTCTGTGGATATGATAATTCCTAGAAAATAACAGTGTTTGAAATGTTACATATTGACATATTTGTATTTGTTTTTGTAAAATTCAGTTTATATTCTGGATATTATGATTTTTTTAATTAAAAAGAATTTAATTATTATAAATGTTTAAAGTAAGCTATTAAAAGAAAGAATCAGAAACAATCTTAATAATATGGTCAGACTTCTACATAATGTAGTTTGATATTACAAATTTCTCTTTAAATCTGTGAAATGTTTAATTTACAATATTTTTTGCATTGAAAATGCCACTATTTAATGAAGTTTAATTTCTGGTGAGTGGCTGAAAATACAAGTAGAGCAAATTCAAATTTCTCCATTGAGAAAACTGTGTACTTTTGTACAAAGTAGATTATAAGATTCTGCGACACACATCTGCCATGATACAAATGGATAATAGAGTTTCTTAGGCTTTTACCTTAGGCTGAGGAACTTGTTCCATTTGCATAATGGCAAGTGTTTGTCCACAGAATCTTATAATCTGTTCTGTAGCACAATGTGAAAATTTGGACTTGGTCTACTTGTATTTCAGCTACTTATATAATAAATTTTGTAACTGGATAAATGAAATAAAAAAACTTTTTTCTTACCTTGCTAAATATTGAAATTGCTTAAGATCTTGCTTCATTTCTGCAATTGACACCTTTAGGGTTTTTCTTATGGTATAGAGCAATAACTTTACTATGCTGTATTAAAAATTGATGAATGATTGAGATATTCTACTTGAAGATAGTTTCAAATAATAATCTTTTTAATATATTCACAATTGTAAGAAATGGCTTGTGTCAACAAGAAAACATTATTGACAATAATAAAGTTAGAATTAGTCATTGAAAGTATAAAACAGTTTAAGTAATACAAAAAATGAGTGTGTTTTAGCATTAAAACTTATTAATAGAGATAAAAGTTTATTATGCATTGTTCATATTTTCAGAAAATATGGTATTACTCTGTCCATTAAATCACAATTATCCTTTAAAATAATAATCTGGGACATTAAAGTTCATTAAAATCACTAACATAGACTATTCAAAATGATATTTTCACTTGTCTTTTTAGAAATTTGAAGCATGGTTTTTAATAAAATACAGTGGTGCCTCGTATAACATATGCCTCGAATAACAGACTTTCTGTTTGGCCGTTACGTGACTCGAGCAACGGACTGGCTGCGAACAGGTGCGAATGATGTTTCCACTCTTTTGCTGTTGCCAATGACAGTCTGCTATTTTTATAATATATTAGTATTATTAGAATATATTATTAGTATATCTGAAGTACAAAGCTCCTGTTGGGATTTGGCATGCTCACTTGTTTATTACGTACATCACCTCACTGCAGGGTATTTATATTTATTCAAGTGCTGTGCAAATCATGGCTTCTAAACAAACAGAAAGGTGATTTCAATTGAAACAAAGCAAGAAATCATCAGAAAGAGTGAAAGTTGACAAAAACTTTCTTGTCAAATGGGGAGAGGTCAGGAGTTTACCAACATTTATTATCCAAACAGAGCTGAGGTTAACAGGATCAACAATCTGTACAATGACACCCTTGCCTGTCATTTCCGACAGGTATTGAAGAAGAGAGAGAAACAAACCACTTTGGACATGTCTTTCAAGAAGTCAGCTGCCAAAAAAACAAAGGATGGAACGAGAGGAGTTGACCCTGCGAGCCCCAGTAGCCTCTCCTCAATCTGACTTCGATTAAAAAACAATAAAAAGAGACCTGCTGCAATGTGTAAAAAGTCTCTATCTGTATGAATGTGTGAAGAACGTGTTCTTCCACCTCCTCCTCAAAACATCTGACTACTCGGCATAATTGATGACTGCTGCATTTTCATTTTTGTTTTTTTACAGGTACAGTACGGTTATTGTATGCTGTGGAGCAAATTATATGTTTTAACATGTATTTCTGTGGGAAAATGCATTTTGTATAATGGACTTTTCACTTAACGGACGTGCACCTGGAACGGATTAAGTACCTTATATGAGGCACCACTGTATTTTGATGTTATATTGGAGGAAATGAAAGACATACAAATATGAAACATATAAATAGTGGAGCACTGTTTATATGTTGCATAACTATTTCTTGTTCACTTTGCTGAAAAAAATTTATATAATTTTATTCAAAGTGAATTTATTTAATTAATATTCATAATAATTTATAATTAGCATACAGATTTATTATAAAATTAAATTTTTCAGGCAAAGACAGCCACGAAATACAGAAAACGAGCTTGTGAAAACTGTGGGGCTTTAACTCATACAAAGAAAAACTGTTTTGAGGTATTAACTTTACTTATTGAATTATTAAATGAAACTAATGTATGATAATTATGCAATAAGAATAACAATAGTTTCCTCACTAGTCATCACCTTGTCAAGATGAGTGTACGCGATAGTTCCAATAACCCATAATGATACCAGCAAGAGTGCATCACAGACAAAATAATCCATCACATTTAATGATGGTTAGTTGTTATGGATTATTCATTGTCACATTCATTGATGACACTTGGCAATTGTCAGAGTTATATGGCATTGGCACTGTGTTGTCCCCAGTCAGCACTGAGTAACTGGTATGATTATATCTAAATTAATAATTCTGGAAATGAAAGGTTGGATGGAGATCCAATTAGCGTAACTGGCATTGTAATTACATGTTCTGTGGGAGTTGCAGGTTTGAATTTCAGTTTGGACCAATTTGTTTCTTCCAGAACCCTTTAAATTAATTATTAAATTTATCAAGATACAGTGTGTAATTCGTGCCTTTAGGCTAAATTTAATTATTAATAATAGCATTAATAAAATCTGATAAAATCTGACAATTATTTGTATTTACTCTATATGATATACTGTTGTTTGTTCCTATCAACTACAATTTGAGCATTGTAAGCAGACTCAAAAATTTAAATTTTATTTTTATGAAAATGTTTATTTTTGCATGTTTATTTTTTAAGATGCATCTTGATTGTTTTTGGAAGCTTACTAATAATAAAATTGAGATTTATTCTCTTCTACATAATGATAAGTTTACTTATACATTTAATGAAGATAATTGCCTAAGTAATTTTTCTATTAAAAGAGAATTTCATTATTGTTTTTTGTTAATGATTTTTTTTAACTTAAACATATTTGTTACTTACAATTGTAACTTTTATTAAATTTGTTGTTAATAAAAATGTAATAATAATAAAGTCATTACACTATGTTTTATAGTAATTAATAATATAATTTAATAGCATGATATATTTTTTTGATAGAAACTACTACTAAATTGTAAATTTTAGTATGTAATGACTCAATACTCAGAAAAATAAATTTATACTTGCTTTGTTAACATCAATAGGAATTGAATGATTCCTTTGTTATAAATATGAATAAAGTAATGAAAATTTTTAAAAATTTTTTATTGATTAGCTTTTAATATAAATCTTTGAATTTTCAATAATGTGGGTGTGTATATAAATGTACGTGTTTAATTTTCTTTCTCCTATTTTAGCGGCCAAGAAAAATTGGTGCCAAATTCACAAATGAAGATATTGCCGAAGACGAAGTTATTTTGCCAGATTTAAATTTGGACTACGATGGAAAGAGAGATCGATGGAACGGATATGACCCTGCAAATTATCAAGCCATTGTGGAAGAATTTGCAAAAGTCGAAGAGGTAAATTTGTAGAAATATTATATCATTACAAGCTTAAAACGCAGGGCTGTGGAGTCGTGTAAAAATCTTCTGACTCCAACTCTGACTGCTTTATCATCTGACTCCAACCAGGGGCAGACTTGTTATCAAAGTAGACCCAAAATTTTGATGTCATTCACATGACCTCAGAATAAAATATTCAATAAATAGAGTTCTGATAAAGATAGAACGTAGAAACTTTTTTTATTCCATAGCTAAAAGACTGTAAGTAATGACACAGTCAATATATAAATATGTATTTGATAATACTTACTTTCCCGGCTGTTATATATAACAGAGGGAAAGGGAAGGTGTCGATAAATGACCCCCTCTCAAATTTTTACATTTTTGGACTCGGGACACCTTGAAATGTCGAGATATGCAAAAGATTCAGTTTTTTTCTGTATGTATGGACTGTGTGTGTGAGGCACGATTTTGTTTACCCTGTTTGTAGCCTAATAACTTCTGTGGTTTTTAAATTGGAGTTGGATGGTTTAACACGAGTTATTAAGCTTCAAAGTGGTTGAACTAAATCCTGTTCTTATACACATTCTAACATCTGAAGTGAGAACATCTTAATGGGTTTTACTGTCTATTATAAAATGACAAAAAGTTTAATTTTGAGGGTAGAGACGAGTTTTATTTAAAAAAAGTTTGTGAACACTAATAACAAGTAAAATATTCATTAAGTTTGACCATACTGGAGATATGACACATGACCCCTTCCAGGTCTTCACCCTGTTGACCTTTAATTAAGAACCAAAATTTAATAGCATTAATGCCCCTTTATATACAGGCTACAGTGCCAAATTTCGTTTCTTAAACTTTAGCCATTCTGAGATATTGTTTAATATCTCAGAACAGACAATAAAGAAATTAAACAAATTAGATGCCAACATGTGTGCAAATTTTTCCCTTTGACATTTTTTGGGTTCAAGAGGTCTCTGAATATGTAGATTTGCAAAATTATTGGAGGGTCGAATTTGACATGATTTCAATACTTTTTCGTTTTATATGCATAACAAGTTGGAAAATAAAAAGGAGTCAGAATTTGCTGGATTTTTTGATGACTTTGACTAAAACACGAAAACTCCATGACTCCAGCTCTGACTTCGACTCCACAACCCTGTTAAAAATTTAAAAGAAGAATTTAACATTAACTATAAATGTGTAGTTTTATTACTTTTAATTTTCTGAAATTATTATATATTAAATATGGAAATCAATAATTGTTGCAAGAAATGATTGATGCATGAACTTTCTTAAAATTTAATTTATATGTCTATTGATATAGAAGTACAGTACAATAAAACAAAAAATATATATTAAAAAGTAAACAAAGATGATACAGTAAACTACATAAATTTGGAAAATAATAATTAATGTTTCTTAATTTTTTCTGAGAAAGACATATCTGTAGTAAAATCAATGGACTATGATGATTCAGAAATAAAAATGATAAAAAAATAAAGCATTTATCATTGTAAAATTGCTGTATTACATGTAAAAATATCTAAATTTTTAGTGGTGATAATTTGACAAATGTGAAGATTATAAAGAAAATGGTTAGATGGTATGAGACAAATTTTTCTATGGTACTCATAGTAGTCTGATTTCTCTTTAAGATAATTAAACATTTATAATCTTTATTTTTCTTAAAGTGATGGATTCTTGACAATTGTTCGGTCAAGATTCTAACACAGTTTGAAGAACTGAACAGCAATACCTAATAATAAAACTGCAATTAAATGGTATTTTTTAGAAAAATTTGTTTTTTGTACAGAATGCTTGCTTTAAATTTATGTAATTAAATTGTTTAAAAAGCAAAAATAAAAGTGTTCAAATAAATATTTCTAAAGTGATTGATGATTACCATGTTTAAATTTGTGAAGTTATGAATTAAAAGATTCAAAACAGATCCAACATATATAAATTAGAATAATTTAATCTGATTATACTAAAATTAGTCTGCCTTTAAGTATATCAGTCTGACTAGTAGAATTATAAGCTATGATTTATGATATTTATATAATATACAAAACTACCTATCATCCAATTAGTATGAATCATCCTTTTCTATTAGAAATCAGAAATTTTTACATTTGTTTGATGATAAGTTTAAAATGTAAGTGTGGAGAAAAAAGTTTAATTTTTAAAGTCAAAATAGTTTCAACTATAATCGATTTGAATTAAATTATTATATAATTTTCAATAAATTAAGTATTTTTGAAAAATTTGAGAAGTTTCTATATTGTCATTTATTGATTATTCATTTTAAAACAGGCTAAAAGGCAATTGAAAAAGAAAAAATTAAAGCAAGATCTTTTATCTGGTAAAGTTAGCACTATAAAAGAAACAGTAAGTAATATCAAGCAATTTTACTGTAGTTAATAATTTTTACAGAATGTACATATTTTATTCAACAGAATATGAAGTTCTTTTGGTATACTGATAATTTTTAATATCGAAATCAAATTTTATTAAAACTTTCTAAAATCTCATACATAAAATAAGATTTTTATACTTTAAAATGTATAATAATAGGCAGTAAGATTACTATCTTGTATTAAATTTTTTAATAACTGCATTAATTTTAAATTAAATAATTTATATACTATATAGTACAATTGTTATATTGTCTATCTTTAGTGCAAATTATTTATATTATAGTGATTAGCTAGGTTATAGTTTAAAAGTTAATCCAGCCGTATCTTTTTCTTTAATAATAATAATAATAAATTAATAATTAACCGGATATAATTTAATTTGACATAGAATAATGATGGTGATACAGGTGATGATGAAGATGAAGAAAAATATGCCGACAATGCAGACATGCCGGGTACAAAAGTTGACAGTAAACAACGAATTACTGTTCGTAATTTACGTATAAGAGAAGATACTGCAAAAGTAAGGTTAATTTAAATATAGAATACTGTATAGTTAACTGATTAAACGAAGAAAGATAAATTTGAAAAATTATTTTCAATTTTTAGTATTTGAGAAACTTAGATCCAAATTCTGCATACTATGATCCAAAAACAAGACCATGAGAGATAATCCGTATCAAGGAAGAAAAAATCCAGAAGAGTAAGTATACTCAAATTATTTATATTTGATACTGTTCAAAATTCTGAAATACAAAGTTATGGAGGTGAAAAAATCCCATATTTGACTTGATATTCAGAAATGTTGAAATTTTGATATGAAGTCTAATATGAAAATAAGTCATAAGGCAATTTCTTGACATGAAAAAATCTTAGAACTATTGTCAATAATGAATGGCAGATTTAACTAACCATAACCCAACATACCAAAAAATGTTTAATTTGTTAATGAAAACTCTTTCTGGGCCCCTTGATAATTTGTTTTTAACAACAGCGTTGTTCAGTTTATATTACTGAGTCGAATATCACAAAAGTCACTGTCAATAATGGTGTTAATAGAATGTCTATGTTGTCATTTTAACAAGTGAAGATTTGAAATTTCAGGATTTCAAAATGGATCTATTCATTTGATATATGTTAAAAAATGTCAATTTTAAAAATCTTTAATGATAATGCATTTGTTCAAAAAATAAACATTATTATTATGTTGGGTTTTGTGAGTTATACTCGGTTCACACTGGTGGCTCTGTACTATGCCGGACCAGAGTCAAGGCATAGCAACCAAAACAAAACTAAAATTAAATAAGTGTGTCAGTGTGTGTGTCTGTATTCAGGAATTTTTTAACAATGTGGCATGTATTCAATATAGTGGCCTTCTGTAATGTGATATATGTATTACTACTCAATTGTAATGTTCCCAGGCTTTTATGTAGTGTGTGTGGTATCACACCTGTACAGGAGAGAACGACAGGTACAATAAGCACTTTATCCATCCTCCACAGATGCCTTATTTCCTGGGCGAGTTCTGTGTACTTGCTAATTTTTTCTGTGCATGTGTTTTGTACTGTACATTGTGAGTGTTTGGAATGGATATGTTTATAATGTATGTGATTTTATTGTGTTTGTCAGTGAGTGTGATGTCTGGTCTGTTGTGGTAAATTGTTTTATCTGTGATTATGGCTCTGTCGTAGTACATTTTGTGCGTGTTATTTTCTAATACTGTCTGTGGAATATACTTGTAGTATGGTTCGTGGATGTCTGCCAATTTGTGTTTCTTTGCAAGCTCTTGGTGTATTATATTTGCTACTTGATTGTGTCTATGTAAGTAATCTGTCTGTGCCAAGAGCTTGCAACCAGAAGTGATGTGTTGTATAGTTTCTGGCATGATGTGACATTTTCTGCATGTGTCATTTGTGAGTGTTGTATCTTTGAGTATGTGTTTTCTGTAGTTTTTAGTATTTATGACCTGATCCTGTATGGCAATCATGAATCCTTCCGTCTCCCCAAAGAGGCATCCCCGATCTAACCAGCTGTTTGACGCAGTTTTGTCAACAAAATCCTGGGCCAGGTCGTAAGGATGCCTGCCATGGAGAGCCTTTTGAGCCCATGATTGCTTAATGTTGTCTATGCTTTTTATATGTTGTGTCATGTCTGTATGTTGTGAGTGTAAGTTTAATGGTGTGTTATTTGAGTCTGCTAGAGTTACTGCTTTATGTAACTGTGATGTTTCTTGTTTCTTGTAGAAAAACTCTCGCAGTGACTGTATTTGTTTGTAGTGAAGGTTAACTATGTCAATCAGGCCACGTCCGCCTTCTTTACGTGGAAGGGTTAATCTTTCTGTGGCGGATTTAGGATGATGTTGTTTATGCTTAGTAAGTGTTGTTCTTGTTTTCCTTTGGAGTTGCTCGAGATCTGTGTGAGTCCAATGTATAACTCCAAAAGAGTATGTGAGTACTGGGATGACATATGTGTTTATTGCTTTAACTGTGTGTTTTGCATTTAACTGTGTTCTAAGTATAGCGTTTAACCTACTTTGGTATTCTTTAATTAATCGTTGCTTTATTTGTGTATGTTCTGTTAGTTTGGCCTGTTGGAATCCTAAGTACTTGTAGAACTCGCCCTCTTCCATGGATTCAATAACGTCTCCATTTCCAAGTGCAAAATCTTCTTTCTTCAGGATTCCTTTTTCTATGTGAAGTTTTTTGCATTTGTCTAGGCCAAACTCCATTTGTATGTCCTTAGTGTATGAATGTGTGATTTGTAGGAGTTGATGAAGTTGTTTTTGTGTGGATGCATAAAGTTTTATGTCGTCCATGTACATGAGATGTGACAGTGTAAACTGTGTTGTTTTTTCATGTCTGATATTGTAGCCATATTGCGTGTTGTTTAACATGTTGGATAATGGATTCAGGGCTAGGCAGAACCAGAGAGGACTCAAGGAATCTCCTTGAAAAATTCCTCGCCTAATGAATATTTCGTTTGTTTGTATGGAAGTGTTACTAACCCTGAGATGCAGTGTTGTTCTCCAGTGCTGCATAGTGTTTTCGAAGAATGCAATGAGTGATGGATGTATTTTGTACATGTGTAGAATATGTGTAGAATATGTAGCAGCCAACTGTGTGGAACACTGTCGAATGCTTTTCTGTACTCTATATATGTTTCTGTGTTGTTTGTGTGCTTGCCGTAAAATGACTGAATCTATAAGTAACTGTTCTTTGCATCCTCTGTGATTTCTACGGCAACCTTTTTGTTGTTCTGTCAGAATGTCGTGTTCTTCAACATGTTTGTATATTTTGTTTGTGATACAGGATGTCAATAATTTGTATAGTGTTGGAAGACGTAATTGGTCTGTATTGTATAGGGTCTGTAGTGTTGTTGTTTTTAGGTTTCATGTAGGTGATACCCTGAGTAAGAAATTTTGGCATGTCTTGTGGATTGATGATGATGGTGTGTTAGATGTTTAGCTTAGTTCCTGGTGCAGTGATGTAAACTTTTTGTACCAGAAATTGTGAATGTTGTCTACACCAGGTGTCTTCCAGTTGTGTGTTCTGTTAACAGCGTAGCATGTGTTGTATGTTTATTTCAGCACAGGGCATA